GGAAAAAGCAAAAACAGAGTATCTAGCAGTCATTCAATAAAATGAATTTAATAAGCACTTTTACTTGTTTTTATTGCTTTTCTTGCTGTTGTTGCTGTTGCTTTTGGGGCTGTTTTTGGCCCAAGGCAATTTATTGTTTTCCACTTTACGCCAGTGTCCCACTGCGAGGCGCCTTCTTGTTATTGTTTTCGCTGTATCTGTGTGTGTGTGTGTGTATTTGTGTGTGTTTGGTTGTATTTGTGTACGTTTGTGTCTGTTTGTGTGTGGTTCTTAAATTTCCGAGTTCTTTGCCATTTGTCGCGTGCGCTTTGAGCTATTGAGCCACTTGTCAATTGTGGGCACTTACAGCTAAGTGGGCGTGGCTAAGGGGCTGGGTAGATATGTCTTTATACCACTTACCATTACAGCGTTACGCTTGAAATCCATAAAGTTCTTCACCTCGGCCGCTAATTCACGCAGCAATATAATGCCATCCTTGCGCTTCACTTCGATGTCGTTGTCCTTAAAACGCTGCAAAGAGACAAAGAACAAGATGAAGAAAGGACTATGAAATAAATATAAAAATAAATACGTTTGTCAATAAACTATGAAAATTTATATGGACTACGTACTGCAGTTGGGGTAGTCCCGCAGCTGCGTCGGCGGACGGCAGGGTGGGTCGGTAAAGGGTTATAAAAACTTTTCCATGTGCTGCTTTTATAATGTCCGCGGCATAAAATTCAAATTTACTGCTGCCAGCGAGTCGAGCGTCGCGCGTCTCGCGTCGCGCTTCTCACAAGTTGTTGTTATTAAACTGATTTTAATGTTGCTTTATTCATTTAATAAGATTTTCATTGGCTAATTATTTCACTTAGTTGAGAGTTAAATTGCTTTGCCATGCCCCGAGGCACTTAACATTCAGCTGAATAAGCAACCAAATCAAAGATAATTTTCTCCGAATTTCAGCTGAAGCGAACATTTCGTAAGTTGTAAGCGTTCAATTGCCCAAAAGTAATTGCGAGCCCAGAACTCCTGATCACATTAGTAAGAACAGCAATGGAGTCTGAGTAAGTGTTATCTAATGAGACTTGCATAGAAAGGCGATAAAGTATTAAAATGACAGTGAAAGCTAGAAAATCTATCTATGTACCTATGACACAGTAGTAGAAATATGAATAGCGTAAGAGAGCTATAGAGAGAGAGATGAAGATAGAGCAAAAAATGAGAAAGAGAAAGATAAAGCAAGAGAGGGAGACAGAGCGAGTAAGAGAGATAGCAAAAGACAGAGAAGGAAAGAGAGAGAGAGTAAGCGACACAATGAAAGAGATAGGGAGATTGGGAAAGAGAGAGAGAGGCAACTAGAGCGAGAGAGATAATGAGCAAAAAAGCGAGCGAGAGAAAGATAAAGCGAAAGAGAGAATGAGAGAGTCATGGCGAAAACAACACAGTGACAAAAGACAAAATGGAGCACAAAGAGTGATATGTAGAAAAGAGAGAGAGAGAGAGACAGAGATAACGAGGCACAGCGATAAGGAGCTAACTTAAGCGTAGACTACGAAGCATTAACCTTATCATATTTGTTTCTCTTTCATTTAATATGTAATCAAAGTTCATTGCCATTTTAGCTAAAATATTCTGGACGAAAATGTAAAAGTCAAAAGTCATCCGTGTGCCATTTGCTAATATCCGGCGGAAATGGATGAACGAACTTTTTTTCTTTTTCGTTTTTCCTTTTTCTGTTAAATGCAGCGAACATAATTTGGGCGTTTAAAATTCTCATGTTTGAATTAATAATGCTCTGAGAGACAGCGCTGTGATTGCTACATGGATTTGTGCTACTTTTCTTGCTAACTGCAATTCACACACACACACACATACATAAGCGCACACACTCGCACAGTTGTATGACATTTTCTTTAGCGAACTAATGAATGCCTCAAAGAGTTTTCACAGTTTTAGTTTTGTGGCAGCACAAGCAGCATTTTGGCACCAACCGCAAATGTTTGCAGTGTCTCTGCGAGTGTGTGTGTGTGTGTGTGTGCACAAAAAGCAGCTTCTGCTAGCTTCTTTGAATGCGTGTGTCTCAGTTCAGTCCCTGCTGCTGTCGCTGCTGCTGCTGGCACTGAATCAGTTAAGAAAAGTTTTCTAATTAATTCGCTTGGGACATGTACACACACACACATACATATACTGCACACACCCATAGAAATATGCTGCCAGTACGTTGATGATTACAAAATGCCGACGAAAATATAATTTAACTGACAGTTTCTGCCTCTTTTTAGCGCCTCTTTAGCCACGCCCACGCGCCTAGCTAATTGGTTTGCCCAGTTTTTTCCCTACTTCTTGGTTGTCATAAAATGCATTTGCAGCCTCAACTTACGGCTAAGAATGCTACACTTTTCCTTGCTGTGAAAAGAATGACTTGGAGAAAAACGAATAAGAATAAGAAGAAAAACTGGAAGAAGAAAAATGTAAAAATCGAGCATGAGAAAAACTCATCAAATCTCTTAGGAAAATGCCATTTTGCCCGGCGCCTTCGAACATTAAAACAAATGACAACACGTTTCAATGGAAAGATGATTATGTTTTCGCAATGAGATGTATATGTGTGTGTGTGTGGGAGGCAGGGGCAGGGGCTGGGGCGTGGCAGCAGCACGTCAAATCAAAAGCAAAGCAAAATGTGTCAGACATTAACATGGCCACTAAATGCGTGTCTCGTTTAAGTGTGTGCGTGTGTGTGTGTGTGAGGAAAATAAAGCCAAACTTGAGTGGAAGAGAGACGGAGTGAATAGGAGAGTGCGAGCAGGCAGGCACAACTGTCTGCTGCTCAACGGCATGTGAAATTTAATTAGACACATTAAGCAGCAAAGTGTTTTTTAAGAGCGAAATATACATCAAATATATGTACAAATAGAATATATATATACAAATATATATGTATGCATAGATGTATATGTTTATGTATATGTATCGCATGTCATTGGCATGAGAAGTCGAATAGTAATTTAGTTGGCAATGTGAAATGGACAAAGTCAAGTGTTGGCTGCTGCTTCGCTAATTGTGCCAATAAGAATTGCCCTTAAATTAATTATTTATAAAATTTTGTAACAAGAAAATGTATTATAGTATATAATAGTGCATAATAATAATTAAACAAAAATATTTAACATAAATACATACATTCATTATATAAATACATAAGCTTATGTAAGCTTATTAGTAAAATAAATTTTTTGAAAATATTAATAAATATTCTTAAAGAATATTTAATTAAAGTAAATATTTAGTAGAAATAAAGAAACTTAAATTGTTAGAATCTGTTCTATTTTTTATCTTTGTATGTATACTTATAAAATCTTTTCAAATATTTCACATAAATAAAGAGGAGCTTTATATTTTCTATATTAAAATACTTGCTCAACTGTGCGTTAGCTGCTCGTTATAAATCTACCAAGCAGAAAAAATCTATTCTTGATGAAATTCTCATATGAAATTAAGTCAAGTTAAGTTTATATAAATATTTAATAAAATTAAGATTAAGATATCGAAATGCTTAAAGATAATAAACAATAAATAAATACGAGATTAGCTCTTTTTGATAAAGTCAAAATACTTAAAAATGCCATGAACAGTTAAGAATTGTTAAGTGTAGGATAAATAAATCGATATTTAGATAAGGTAAATATAATATTTTTCACATTATCAATTTATGTACGACTTTCTATATACCCATTGATGCGAAGAGATATCTAGATTCCTGATTCGACTTAAAATACCTTGCATTGCGCTACTGAGATACGTTTTCACGTAGTTAGTATACCCGTTTAAGCCCCTTTAAAGGGTGTTTTCACTGACTTTTACCATAAAAACGCAGAAAAATGATTTTAATTTCATTAGTGAAGCGAAAATGATCATTAAATACGTTTGTCTTTTGCAATTTCTCGGATTGTTCGTCATATGTTTCACATATAGCATACATCCAATTATAAGATCTGGTAAATATTGAGCAGGAAAGTCTTAAAGTAAAATTCTAAATTATATTTCTTGCAGACATACCAGCCAACACGAACCTCACAACGGGTCCATTTGTTAGGATCGCTTATGGATATTACTTTTTCGAGATAGAGAAACAAAAGAACTGGTACGATGCCTACGAAACCTGTCGTGCGATGGAGGCTGAACTGATAACGATAGAAACTATCGAGGAATGGAATGAAATCAATCGATATATTCGTGAAAATAATATTGACTACTCGTACTGGACATCTGGAACGGATCAGGCTAACGAGGGATCGCATATTTGGTTTTCAAATAGCAAACCCATTGACGCAAAGATCTGGGCTGTAAGCCAGCCCGATAATGCAGCTAATAATGAGAACTGTGATGAATTGGGTTGGAAAAGCACTAAAGGAGATGGACTCAACGATCGTCCTTGTGTTTTTTTGAATCGCTACATTTGCGAAACACTAGAACCAATAACAGCCTCTTTTGTCATCTGGTAACAATTTAAAACTAGATAAGCTAAAACTATCTTGAAAAAAAAAATACATATTAAAAATCTATCAAATAATAAAATCATTTTATTTGCAATAAAATCGAGAAACTGTGTAACATATATAATCTTGATGCAAACATCTTTCACGAAAGCTGTGAAGGCAAATTCAAAAAATGCTGAAATACTTTAAACAAAACTTTGTTAAGAAACAGCGATGATCAAATCAAAATCATTTCAAATAAAATCAAAACATAAACAAATAAATAAACAGACTGATGCTTACCAGTTGCTTTCCAAGTTCTCTATAAATATTTACCTAATGCTAAACAAATATCAGACTAACAGATACTCTGCTGAAATTCTCTTTCAAGTTCATTTCTGTTTCGATGAAATGAATTTTAGGTAAATGTATTTATTCTAACTAGAGAGCAATTGTCTACAAGTCAATATCTTGTTCTCTAATTGACAAGACATAAATACTGAATCTTCACTTACTTTCGATATAAAAGGCCAGCCACGAAAATCAAACCACGAGTTGTGCCAAGATGTTTGCGAAGTACGTTTGTGTTCTGCAGTTTTTCGGTTTGTTAGCCCTATGCAGTGCATTTAAATTACATCCAGTTATAACACCAGGTAAATATTTGAAGGGGAATACCACGCAAGACACTTCGATAACATCAGTCCTACAGATATTCCAGCCAACACCAATTTAACAACGGGCCCATTTGTGAGGATCGGAAGTGGATATTACTTATTCGAGTTGAAAAACTGGAGAAACTGGTACGAAGCCTATGAAACTTGTCGTACGATGGACGCTGAACTGATAACGATAGAAACTATCGAGGAATGGAATGAAATCAATCGATATATGCAAGAAACGAAAATCGATAACTCGTACTGGACCTCCGGCACTGACCTGGCCAAAGAGGGAGCCCACGTATGGTTTTCAAGCGGACAACCCATTAATATAAAGGTCTGGGCTAGAGGACAGCCCGACAACGCAGGCAAAGTTGAGCACTGTGACGAGCTGGGATGGAAAGGCAATAATACGACTGGATTAAACGATGGCCCTTGTGCATCACTTAAACTCTACATCTGCGAGGCGAAGCAGCCTGTAACTGCTTCATTTGTTCTTTGGTAACTATTAAGAAAACTTAAGAAAAAACGACATGAAATATATGAACAGTGCGACTTTTATTGGAAGTGAAACTACAGTAAACACATAATGTCACTTACTTTCCACTTTATAGATCGTCTGCGACTGCAGACTACGCCAAATTTGGTATTTTTTCAACAAATATATTTCATTATATATCATATTTTATGAATATATTTAATTGACGTCTTTAGCTATTCTAGTTGATGAAATCTCAGCGTTGCCTTTTTCAAACATTTGCACCAAATGATATGCCTTCAACAGTTTCAGTGTATAAACAAAATAATATTCAATATAGATTCAAAACAGATAAGCAATTTGTATTCAGAATTCCATTCGAATATTTACCTAATGCTAATATTAGACTAGCAGATACTCTACTGAAAGAAATACAAATTCTTGAGTATGTTTTAATGAAATGAATAGATATTTGAAATGAATATCACATGTTCTAAAAAACGAACCATTGTCTGCACACCTGTATATACCCGGTCTCATTCATTACAGGGCATAGATGATGTATGCTCACAGCTTTGCCATATAAAAGGACAGCCATGAAAATATTAATGTGAGTGCTGCAAAAATGTCTGTGAAATACGTTTCTGCTCTGCAGTTTTGCGGACTGTTAGCTCTATGTATGGCATATAAATTACATCCAGTTGTAACGCCAGGTGGGTTCATCAAAGTGAATGCTTCGAAAAAGAGTTCTGTAACTTCTTTCAAACAGATATTCCAGCCAATACGAATTTGACAACGGGTCCGTTTGTGAGAATCGGAACCGGATATTACTTTTTCAAATTGGAGCAGCAGAAAAACTGGTTTGAGGCCTACGAAGCTTGTCGTACGATGGACGCTGAACTGATAACGATAGAAACTATCGAAGAATGGAATATGATCAATCGATATATACGCGAAACGAATATTGACCATTCGTACTGGACATCAGGCACAGATCTGGGTAAAGAGGGATCCCACATATGGTTTTCAAATGGACAACCAATTAATATAAAGATTTGGGGCCCCGGACTGCCCGATAATCTCCAAAATGCGCAGCACTGTGATGAATTGGGTTGGAGAGATGGGACTCGAAGTGGACTAAATGACCGTCCATGTAGTATCTTGAATCGTTACATCTGCGAGGCACAAGCACCCGTAACTGCCTCGTTCGTTCTGTGGTAGCAATAAGCTTTGGTCAAACTTTCCTTAGATTGTTACATGCCTTTGCCCAAAATCATAATACTTGCTTTCTTAATGACTGTAGGATGTATTAAATAGGTGCTAATTATTTGATAATCATAACAAACAGCTGATAAACAAGTCAAAATTGATGTTTTAGTTGATCCAACAAAATATTTTTATTAAAATTCATTCACACTTGAGAAAGAAGAAGAAATTTGTATTGCATCTGGATTTTTGCTATAAAAAGCCTTGCAGATGGAAAGATTTTCAGAAGTGCTAGTAAAATGTCTGCGAAATACGTTTTTGCTCTGCAGTTTTTCGGACTGTTAGCCTTGAGTGTGGCATATAAATTGCATCCAGTCATCTCACCTGGTAAGTTTTCATTTTCAAATATCTTGAAAAAATTCTCTAGTATAATCTACATATAGATATACCGGCTAATACGAATCTGACAACGGCCCCTTTTGTTAGGATCGCTTATGGATATTACTATTTCGAGGTAGAACAACAAAAAAACTGGTTCGATGCCTACGAAACTTGTCGTGCGATGGACGCTGAACTAATAACGATAGAAACTATAGAAGAATGGAACGAAATCAATCGATATATTCGTGAAACGCGTATAGAACACTTTTACTGGACATCTGGCACGGACCAGGCCAAAGAAGGCACGCATATTTGGTTTACCAACGGACAGCCCATAAACAAAGATCTTTGGGCTAAAGGACAGCCCGATAATGCTAACAAAGTGGAGAACTGCCATGAACTGGGATGGAAAGTAAATAATGTATTGGGATTAAATGATCGTCCGTGTAATTTTGCCAACCGCTACATCTGCGAGGCGCGACAACCCGTAACCGCTTCATTTGTTCTTTGGTAATGCATACCAAATTTACAAATTTAATAATAATAATAATCTAGCATTAAAAATATCAACACAAATTATATTACTTTCAATTATTTGTAATTAGCAGAGATTTGATAATTAATAAAATTAATTTACATTTTATGTTGCTATGTTTATTAATGTATATATAAATATATATATATATATATATATATATATATATATATATATAAATATATATATATATATATATATATATATATATATATATATATAATATGTTTGTATGTTTTTTTTTTATTTTATGTGCTTTCTGACTATGATTTATAGCTACTCAAAATATTAAAACCATTAGCCATGAGTTAAAAATGAATTAAAAAGAAAATCACCAAAGCGATAAAGGCGAGAAAAGAAAAAATATATACAAAAAATAAGTATTGAACATTAAAAGCATGTCAAACAAGCTAACCACAGCAGGAATGGCTAACAAAAAAAAAATATTTATATATATATATAGAAGTATATATATAAGAAAAGCTAACAGCAAGATGGTCGCGCCGATGGCCACGCCCACAAACCACGCACCCGCAACCACACCCCTGCATCGGCCGCACAGCTTGCAACATTTTATAAAGCAATTTCCCCCGGCAGCAGCATCGAAATGCAATGCACGCCTGAAGGACATAAGCGCGCTGTTGCATGTGTGCGTGTGTGTGAGAGTCCTGGCAGCAGAAAAAAAATAACTACTATATACAATATGTATACAATATAAGTGGGAGGTGGGCGACTGGGCGGCTGGTTGGGTTAGGTGTGGCAACAGCAGCCATAGAAACTTTTTCATTTTGCGGTTGACTCTGGAATTTGAAAATGTTGCGCAAGAAGTCGCCCCGAAGGCTCAAACCCCATACGCAATGCTTCTACTGGCTGCCTCCTGGCTGCCTGGCTGCATGCGTGTGCAGCTGGCAGCAGCATCAAACTTTAAGTGGAGCAAGGACAACGAGTAAGGTGCAGCTGCTCTACAGCAGCTCTCCAAAGTTGACATTCCTGAGCAGCGCTGAGCTTTACTTCTCGACTCGACTCGACTCCTGCTTGACTGCTGACTCCTGGCAGCAGCTGCTTAAATTCCAGCACAAGTTAAGCAGCTTACGCATGCAGCATCTAGCATCCAACCTGCACCTGCCCATCTGTTCACCTGCCAGCCAGCCAAGTCGAGGACTCACTTTTCAAGCACCAACTCGCTCGCTCGCTCGCTTTGCAATGCGCTAATTAGATTTTAATGAAGATGTCGTCTGCTATGCAAGCCCCTGTACCTCCTTGCGCCTCTCCCGCTGGCTCCTGTGGCCGCTCCTTGCCTCCTCCTCACTTGGCTGCATTTCAGGCAACATTGTTAAGCTTTAACGCGCATGTTTCCATGTGCATTGAAGCGCAGCTTTCTTAACACGTTCCTTTACTTACAGCTCCATTCCCAGTCTTTTTCTCTTTTTCTTCTCTTCTTCTGTTTTTGATATATATTACCTTGGCTTTTATACGAGCTTATAGTTTGATTTTGATTTTGATGTTGTTTTTGCCACAAAACTTTTAATTGGCATCGCTTTTTAATTGGCTGCACTTTCAACTTGTAATTGCAATTTTCAGTTTGAGTTTGGATTTCCGTTTCTTTTTTTAATGAATAATTCAAAGCAGAAAAACCTGGCTGAGTTTTTGCAAAAGTGAATATTGATTGCACAGCTGCACAACATTCACGTTCTCTTCGTTCTTTGCGCTTGATATTTGGAATATTTTGATTATATTTGGATATTCCGAAAGCTTGAAAATTTCTACTTATACAATAGCCACACATGGAACTTACAAAGAATTAATAACAGCTCCAGAAAGTTGGCCACTAAATAAGTTAATCTAAGTTTTTAACGCCCACTTTTTAAGGCCACATCAGTGCACAAAAATAGTTCGGAAACCATTAGAAAGATCGAAAGTATCCGACTCGAAAATACCTTGAAACCTGCGCAGAGCTTATATTTTAATTATTTTATGCTTTGCACATACAACTTTACTATCGGAATGCAGTTGTTTCTAATCAAATGTATCTTTATCAAATTTCAAATCAAGCGTTTACTGGCTTCCGAGATCGCTATACAGTTCAGGAGTATAGACATACACTTTATAGAATCCGATAGAAACCGACTAAATAAACTTATTATATATTTTATAATATTTAAAATTCTTTTATCAATTTTTTTTTGTTTTTGTATTTAATTCTTATATTTAAATTTAAACAACAGTTTCAAGGCGTAGTTAAATGTAATATTCATTTGGATTTGTCATGTTTTCCATGTGGAAATGTACATTTGCTGACAGATTGCTTGTGGGAAATGTAATATGCTTTTGGTGCCAGCTCTGGTCCCATAACACATTGATTAAATTAAATATTTAATTTGCTTTATATTTTCATTAAGAGCAGCACAGGCATTTGCCCCCTGGCATCTACTCCATCCCCACTCCCACCGCAAAACCTATTTACATTTGTTTGCCGTATGGCCTAGTCGTAACTCTGTCTCTCGCTCTCTCTGTCTTCCCAAACTCTTCTCGTATGTCATACTCGCAATTCTCGCCACCAAACGACAACAACAGACTTAAATATTTGCATAGACAAGCACTGGCTATCCTATAATATCTACACATACACATACATGCATACACACACATATATAAATACATATATATACATATATATAGTGTTTACTGTGGCCTGATCCTCTGCCTCAACTTAACTGCATTCTCCAGCTCTCTGGACCACAAAGGGCACAAAACTCATAGAGTTGAGTTAAACATTGGCAAAGTGGGTGCCCCTCCCACTTATCCCCAACCTCCTTTGCACCCACCCATGCCTTGACACACCCCTCTCAAGTGCGTTCTCATCCACGTTGTTTTCGTCGTCGTCGTCGTCGCCGTAGTCATGCCTTGATTTACGATTGGTCTCTTTACGGCCCGCAACACTATACGGCCGCACACACTTAGTTAGCCAAACACGCACA